GTCGCTGGCAAGCGGTGTTGTTATTGTTGACTAAAATTATTATTGAGTAATTGATTGGTAATTGAAATAAGGGTAAAATAAAATAGATGAAAAAGTTAAACAACAAAAGTTGAGTACTAAAGATGAAGCATTAAACAAATTAAAATGACAAATTTAGTACTAATAAATGATAAATGACTAAAACATATAATAAAATTTAAATATGAAAAAGCTAATTTAAAAGATGAATAAATCCTATAATCCTTTAAATAATACTATAATAACACTGCTGCTATAGTGACAGTTACAAACTAGGCTACATTTGCAAACCTGTTATCAATTCGGATGTTGTTGCTTTTTTAAAGATGATGAATTGTATCAATTAATTTTTTTGTAACGAAAAGCACAAAAAAAGTGTTGTTTTTTTTCTAGATGTATTTAGACACATCCTGAATGTTAGTAACAGCACTGTACAACAATACATGATCAATGAGTTATGACAACGTGTTTTTACATTGTTTTAACTCATAAGTTAAGCAATTTTCAACGTTTTTATGTTATGCAAGATTCAACTCATTTTGTTTAATGTAATGTAAGTTGAAACGACCTAAACATCCAAGTTGATTGTACTTAAAAATTTTCAGTCAGCAAAAAGAAGATTACAGTGAGGGTGGAAAAAAATGCAAATATGTTTTATAAAAGTAAGTAAAACTTATATACTATATATAACAATATAAACTTATGTATACTATATATATAAGTTGATATAAATGTAAACTTTTAAACAAGCAGTTTTTTTCTGAATTTTAAGCTGTTAAAGTTCACTGGCCTTTTGTTGAAGAAGAAAAAAGAAGATTTTTCTGACATTGTCTAAACATTTTGTTGCAATGACATGATGTTCTGAACAATTAAATAAATATCCGAATGATTGACAGCAAGCTAAACACATTAATGGATAAAACAAACAATATAATGCACAACGTTAAACAGTTGATGTCCACTTGAGTGGTTGATGTAAAATGCCTGGAAACAATGCCTAAATATCTTGAAAATAAGCAACTCAGCAACTCATTAAACACTCAACATTAAGTAATAATAAAATACATTGTATTATTGCGAGTACAAAATGACTTTCAGCATGAATGGATCGTTCAGAAGTTGATTCCAGCTGTATCATGTCGACCAGATGTGCATGTCAGTCTTGATCAGAGCCGCTCTGTTGAATATCTCAAGCTTGAACGTCGTTCCCTCCTCGCTTTTCCAACCCTAATCATTTCATCAATCACATGAGTCAATTAGCATGCTAGTTGCTAGCACAACGTCATTGTTTTCGGTCACATGTCCAGATATGATTTACTTACTGTCCCAAACCATCATATTATGAGCAAACGTCATCGACTTGGGTCAGCGCTTGGGTGTTTTATGATTGGGACACATTAAAGCAAACCATTTCCTAACAGATTCTGGCTAGACCTGCAAAATTCTTTCCTGCATTCATAAGACTTGATGTGAACCTGTACACTGGCACAGCATCTTAACAGCCTGGAAAAGTCTGTCCATCCGGCTGATAACTGGACCCAATGGACAGGGTGGAGTCTCATCCAGATGTGTCTTTGAAAGAGATATAAGGAATGGAGTCTTTCGTGGCCATGCTTGTTTTTAAGACTGTAGTAATGAGAAGTTGTGTATTTAGGAAGTGGGTGGGAAAGGGGGATTTCTTTCTCATTTATCAGAAATATGTGGGAATTGTTCCTGATCCAGCGCATGACACACGAGCAACACATGCTAGACTCTCAATAGCCATGATCTCATCCAAAGGCTGTTTCTTTTGTCGACAATAAAATAAAGATGTCTGGTAAGATTGCGTAATGCAAAATGTGAATGCTCTAAATGAACTCAGACCCTATAGCGAACAAAACATCACAGGAGAGGAACAGATGAGCTTCTAGCGTTTTGGATTTAACTGAATGAGGGGCGTATTTGAAAACTATGTAAACTACTCAGGCCCTCTTGGTATTAAGATGTGTTTTGCTCGATCGGATCACAAGTGGACGACGCTAAATACAGGTGTAAACGGGGTCTAAAACGTTTTGAGCTTGTCCACTTTCGACAACTTTCAGATGAGAAATAACATATGGATGCGACTGGAGACAACGGAAAAACATTGCCGAACACTGTTACCACGTTTGCAATGTCTTCTCCAGTCGCATCCATATGTTATTTGTGTGAGCTTATTTTGTCCATTAGATTGAAAGATCTGAAAAAGCCCATACATTTACCTGCCCATAGACCCTCCCCTTGAAGAAATCAGGACAGAAGTGGTTGAAAATGGACAAAAGAGACGGCTTAAAACACCAGGTGTAAACAGGAATGTGTCTCCCTCGATACTTGTCATCCGATCGACCAAAATGCATCTTAGTACCAGGTGTAAACAGGACCTTAGACTCAAAGGTCTTGCTCTTCAGTTTAAAAAATTACATAAAATATTCATATTCAGTTCATTTTAATTTTCAAATATTAAATAAGAAAGCGGAGAGCTGTTCAACACTGAACCAGATAGAAATGAGATCTACGTTTAAGGCCAGGAACAGTGTGAATGCAACGAGAACTGGTTTGTTTTTCGCTTATTGTTAACTTTTTGAGTCACTTAAATAGGTCTAAGTTTGGTTCTTTTAAAAGGAGTCAAGTTTGAAAACATCCTTTTTGATTTGTTTGTATTGAAAAAAAAGTTGAGTAAAAAAAATGATCAAGAGACCAGTAAGAGTCACCTATATGTGAACTCTCCATATGAAATGAGGCAAATTCCCCAAAGAACAGCTTCCTTCCGGAAACACTCAACACACGGGCGCTGGAAGCCGCAGTGGAAAGGATTCCTGCAGGTGCTGTGACTTGTGTGTTGGCCTTCGTGCTAAATGTGTTTCATGATGAATAGCATCAACATGCCCCAATTATGAGATTTATTTTACTTGTCAGTGAGAAATCACCTTGTGTCATCAAAGAATTCCTTTAATGGTGAGTCATAATGTGCTGCTTTAATGGAGTATGAAAACTAAAAAAGAAAACTGAAGCAGGAAGAGATGTGAAATATAATCCAGAAAGACATTTGGTTTGCATTAATCACAGATCCTAATTGCATTCATTTGCATTACATATGCGGGCGATTCAGTAATTAACTTTATGTATTTTAATGGATCATGTTACTGGATATGTTTCTTTTTTAAAGGCAGTATGGCAACTTTTTTTTCACAGAAATAGGCTTTATATATTTTTTTTATGTTACAACCTCATTAGCAAGCAGTGGAATTTCCTCACACAGGTGGAAGTTAATCATGGCCTCTTCATGTCAGTTAATACACACACACACACAATTTGTCTAAACGAGGACATTTCATACGAAGTATATTGTTTTTATAAACATAACTACTTACACTCTAAAAAATGCTGGGTTGTTTCAATCCAAATTTGGGTCAAATATGGACAAACCCAAATGTTGGGTTAAAAATGTCATTTAAAATTTTAACCCAACTTCAACTTTCACTTTCAACTGTAATTTTTTTATTACATTTTTAACCCAACATTTGGGTTTGTCCATATTTGACCCAAATTTGGGTTGAAACAACCCAGCATTTTTTAGAGTGTATAATAACAACAGTACATGTTTGATTTTTTAGAATAAAAAGTATAGTCATGGTCATGGTCATGGTCATAAAATCATGGTCCAAAACACACTTGAAGCACTTGACCAATCTCAACACACTGGTTCAGCCAACCAATCAGAGCATATTGTGCTTTTCAGAAGGAGGGGCTTTATAGAGACAGCAACTAAACAGAGCTGAGTTTCCCAAATGCATCATAGGCTTAAGTATTGTTGAACCATTGCTACCAATGGTCTCTACGTCCAACTTAACCCAGAGCGTTACTGACAGACTGGGAAGAGAGGTGCCGCAACAATGTCAAATATGTGAAAAATATAGTGTTTTTGAACATTTAAGCATGAAACCAATTCTAGTATAGCCTAAAAACAAAACCAAGACTTTGTGAAAGGGCATACTAGGGCCTATTTATCTCAGAAAATAGGAAAGCAACATCCAGATGCACCATTTAACCTTCACCTTGGTGTGACTGAACCAAGCAAAGAATGCAGTCTCTAGACCTTGAGCTATTTCCTGTGCAACATCTCAACTCCCTTTCATCGGCAGGGTGTGCGGCTAAGAAAACACCTGTCAAAGTTTATTACCACAATCCTACTCTAATGCCCGGCACCTCCAAAAGCTGGACGTTCTGCTAACTCGACTCTGCTTGTCGACGTGTAATGATGCACACTTATGCCACATATGTAGGCCCCTCGTCCCACTGGAGTTGTGGGTAGCAGGAGTGCAGCTGTCAAGGAACGTGTTTAGGGTTAATTGGCTTTAATTGGGAGGGTTGTTTTTCCCCTGCTTAAGCACCAGCGAGGGGGGATTGCAGAGATGTGGACGTGTCTGAATGTATCCGTATGAGAATGTATCATGTATAATTATGCGTGAATGTCACTGTAGGGGAATATTGATACTTGTGACCTGGAATGTGAGCATGCCAAAACCATTTCTGCATATGATTGGCATATTTATTTTACATATCTGTCAAAGATCAGAACCACTTCACAATGACGTCAATCTAACAAGTTTCAAACTGCAACACGATCCTTCTAAAATAAGTCATACACTGATATACAAAATAAAGGTTCTTTATTGGCATCGACGGTTCCATTAAGAACCTTTAACATGGAATCTTTCCATTCCACAAAAGTTTTTTATAGTGGGAAAAGGTTCTTAGATTTTTAAAGTTCTTCACGTTAACGGTTCACTGAAAGGTTCTTTGGGGAACCAACAATATGGCATCGCTGTGAAAACTCCTTTATTTTTAAGAGTGTAGCTAATCTTTAACCAGCATACATTCGATATTCTAGTTTTTTCAGCATGTGGTACCAGAACATTTGGGAGTTCAGAACGACTAAACAAACTTTTTTTGTTGTCTGTCAGAACTGAGGTCGAGGAACAGCTCTGCGGTGTTCTGGGACGGTGGCGAGGCGGGAGCGTACCAGGCCTTACTGCTGGATGAGGACCGCGGATGGCTGCTGGTCGGAGGCCGAGACCACATCTACATGCTGAACTCTGACAGCCTCACCCAACCGACACGCAAGGTCAGCGCACGCAAATACCTCAATCTGACAGCGCATGATGTCATTTACAGACCGAGAGGATAAGGGTCACGAAAGTGAAAACAGAGCGTGATTACAATGCATTACTGTTCACATGAATCTTGTGAGGTTACAGGTTTCCGTCCAAAAACTGCTCCACCTCATGCACAGAAAATGACTTGTCCCTCAGTAAAAGTGTATGAAAACGCATCTACTGTAGTATATTTACAATTGTAAACTGTTCAAAATGTTTACAAAAGTGGTTAACTGTTTTATTGCACATCTCTATATACAAAGTTGGATATACAATATATTTACATAAAGCGATACTATATAGCAAATTACAACTTGATTGTTTATATCATCACAAAATGTAAAGTATATTATCGCACAGCTGTAAATGTGACTATAAGGCATAAAGATAGTGTCATATTCTAAGCATTAAGCATTTTCTGTAAAGCTGCTTTGAAACAATGTGTATTGTGAAAAAATATACAAATACACTGTAAAAAAAATGTTTTTCTATTGTCAAATCAACTTAGATAGTTTATGGGGTTCAGATAACATAATATTTTGAGTTTTGTTGACTAAACCAGTCTCCTTCGTTGTATTAACTTACATTTTTTATTTCAATTGACTCCAAATTTTAAGGCAACCAGGTTACTTACTTTTTAAAGTTAAACCAACAATATTTTTTTACAGCGTAAAATTTAAAAACTTGCTAGCAACACTGTAAATCAAGGCTATAATGCTTAACTGGTTTGTTTCATTAGTATATTCCCAGCTAATATGGAATGTTCCTATTATGTTTTTTAAAGGTTATGTAAATGTTAGGACAACACATTCTTAAAATAATGTTTATGGAACGTTCTTGTATTATATCTCGTAATGTTGAGAAGAAAATATTGTTAAGCGTGTTTTAAACGTTGAGTGAACATTCATCGAACATTAAATGCTCGAGCTCTTTAAAACAGGATGGATTCTGATTGGCTGTCAAAGTTTTTATCGTTCATCAACTGAAAAATAATTGCTGCTCTGTGAAGTTATAGTTATAGTTGTGGTGTGGACTCTGCTATTTGTTTATATTTAGAATGATTTTTAACTATTTTTATCGTTATCATTATAGTCCTTGGACAGGCCTTTCTATTTCTATTTATATCCACTCTTTGAACTCAACTATTATGGTTAACTATTGTAAACACACTTTTTGTTTGTTTTTACTAACGGAGGGACAAGTTTGAAGTTATTTTCTGAGGTAACCGACACAAGTTTAACTGAACACAAATGCCGTCAACCGAAATATTCATTGAAATGTCAACACTGATGCAGGCTATAGTATATATGCATTAGCATAGCGTCTTTTTCTACAGTTGTCAGGTCAACTAGCATGTCCAGTTTAATAACGCAGATATTTGAAGGTATCTCTATCGCCCCCTTGTGTACGGAGGTTTGCACGCTAAGTAAAGTGCTTGCAATGTGTTGGAGGCATTCGTATCTGCATTTACATACTTCAGGTCTAAATTCTCCATTACACATCATCACAGCTAAATAAACATTACATTTAGTTCAAATTAATTGATTCTGTCTTTTATAATAGTGAAATACCAAAAGATGCCTGTAAGAAATGATGAGGTTAAACGTAAGGTCATACCACAGTCATTCATACGTGATCTTCATAAGAACTAAAGCACGGCAGGTTCTCGATCTTCCAATTATATCATTATGTACAGTGTGCTGATTGCCGGCTAATGATTAGGTCAATACCTGCACATTATTCCCACATGGAAATGATTACAGTTTGAGAGGCATGTAGATTGTTGAGTGATGATGGTATTGCGCCAAGGAGAGTTAATCAACTCAATACTTGTTGCACACATTTTTTACAAGAACATTAATGTGATGCACTTTTAAAAAAAAAAATTAGAATCAATTAAAAAGGGGTGTAGGACATTTTAGTAATAATAATTACTATAGGTCCCGGATATTATTATTCAAACTTATAGTACTATTAAACTAGTTATTAAATAATACATTTATTAATATATTGTTGAGTGTTTAAGCACATAGCTTTCTCTGCTTTACAAACCGCCCTATAACTTACAACTATAATGTGTTGTTTTGTTATGCATTATTTTCTGTTTTTTTTTTGGAAAAACTCTCTTTTATCTTTATAGAATTCCTTGGGAAAACTCTCTTTTATCTCTTTTATTTTTAGATTCACTGGCCAGCTGGACAGGAACACATCGAACGCTGCAAATATGCAGGAAAGAATCTATCGGTAAGACGCTACAACTTTAAAAGGGCACAAATGGAGAAAAAAGCTTTCAAGGACCCATAGATGCCTTTTTAATAAAGTGATCTCACAGACCGAGATAAGAATAAAAGCTGGAAAAAAATAATATTTATAGCTTTATGGGGGGGAATATATTTCAAGTTGAAAAGTCTTAAGGGAGGGCAAGTCTGAAGTTTTAACATACTTCCCCCCTGCAATAACAGGAAAAAATCAGTAGGTGCATTACTGTGTGATTTAAACAGCTTCAAATCCACCTATCCTCACAAATACTCTTTAAAATCAGGCTTTTAATCGCATACCACATGTATCTTTCAGATGGATTGTGCCAATTACGTGAGACTCCTACAACACTTCAATAAAACTCATGTCTATGTATGTGGAACCGGCGCGTTCCACCCACAATGCACCTACATTGACCTAGGACACAATCTTGAGGTGAGCAGTCAATCTTTTTAGACCCTTAACCACTGTGAAATGCTGTAAACACATTATAAGCTTGATATCTTGTAAATATATGAGCACCGACAGGGTGAATTGGACCCAACACAGGCTTATTGACCATAAAGCTAAACTAATACTGAGGGTAATGGTGCAAACAAAGTGACAGTCTTTGTCTTGGTGTCCTAGAAACCAACTTTCCGGCTTCTCAGCCATGTTGGAGAATCCGGGAGAGGAAAATGTCCCTTCAGTCCGCATGAGACATTTACCGCCCATCTGACAGGTGAGTTTCCTGACCCGACACCCTAAACACATTGTCCTCAAAAACAAGCAATCAGCCCTTTGCAGGCGGTAAAAGGAAAAATGCACAAAACTGTGCATTTGTTAGACGTACTCCCATGTGAGTCACTGATAAATGAATCTGTATAGCTCCAGATGTTAGTTTGCACAGGGCAATTTTGAAGTTCCCCCAGTAAACAGATTTGTCACCCATTTTTGACTCCAATGGATACTTACAGTAATAGGCAGTAAAAAGTTAAAACAATTGCCCAGTTGCTGTTACAGTGTGGTCAGGAAAGAAACCCAGCTGCAAAAATTTCGGGTTTTTTTTCTAAAGCATGTACACCCCAGATGGTCATAATGCATAAACCATATGCTACCCAATTAAAGGCTATTACTGCAACTGGAGACCTTTTTGACCATTTAATGATGCCTCTGGAATAATCGAAATTTCCTTTTCACACAAGCTGCTGTAAAACAGAGTATTTTGACTAAGGATCTGGAGTCAGAGGGTAGAATCATTAAAAATGAGCTATGTATCATAGAAAATCATTTGTCATTCTGAGTCGTTCTGGATGTGATTTTGTGTATACTCACCTTAGATGGGGACCTGTACGCTGGGACGTCCGTAGACTTCATGGGAACAAATGCCGCCATTTTTCGCACATCTGTGCATAGCAGCAATCAACACTATATCCGCACTGAAGCTTACCAGGACCACTGGCTTAATGGTGAGAAGTGAAATAAAACATTCTTTGTTTTTATTGTGTATGCAAAAACTGCATGGACAACAACTGAACAAGCATAAAGGTCTAACCTGGAGACAGCTATTGATTTCCATTAATCAACAATGGCAGTTCCTCAGCTGGCAAATAAACAGGTCACTGGTGAACCATCTACTATAATAAACATTTTGTGATTAATATGTTGTTTGCAAATAACTTTTAAAAGTAATGCATTACAGTATTGCGTTACTCCCAAAAAGGTAACTAATTGCATTAGTTAGTAACTTTTTTTTGGAAAGTAATGCGTTACGTTAATTTTGCGTTACTTTTTCTCACCTGGGCTGGGCTGCTTGTTTCTATTTTAATAACAAAAACTATTTTTGGCAACTGTAAAGGCCATTTTACGCCAAATGTGAAATGAATAAGCCTCAGGCTGAAGGAAATGCAAATTCACACCTGTACAGTAGAGGACGCTGCTGAAACCTTTTAGATGTGCTGCCATTCATTGCAGAAGAAGAGGACGCATGGGGAGAAAGTTTAACTCTCTTCAGCATTAAAAAGAAAAATTAAACACAAATGTGATGCATCTTTTCACAAGCAAGTCATTTTTGCTTGTATAGCTGAATTGGATCATCAAAGGTCAGCATGAAAGTCATTAGTTAATAAAGTGAGATTAAATATATAACGTATATTTGTGTTATTTAACATATTTTGCAGGTTTGCGTAATATTCTGAGTTTGCATTTCACTGTTTTTATTGATTTTGAGAAATACTGAATTCTCTCAACATTGGGACAGGAGAGCTATCAGTCAATACATGGGAAAACAAAGTAACGTGCATTACTTATTTGAAAAAGTAACTCAGATATTTTTTGTAAACTTGAAAGTAATATGATACTTTACTATTTACTTGCAAAAAGTAATCCGATTACGTAACTCAAGTTACCCCAACACTGCTTATAATATATATATATATATATACACAGTATATGATTAGCATTAGCAGGTTTTAAGGATGTGTAGTGATTTCTTCAAAAATAGAAGAAGAAATACTGCTATAGAAATTGTTGGCAGTGGATAAGAAGTAGGTGTATGTTCTGAAAAGTTAGCAATTCACTGTTTTTGGGTGCTGGTGCTTATGCTAGTCTTGCCTAATTAACTTGTGTTACTTCCTCCACCCTCACTCTCTCTGATGCCAAATTCTTTTCACAGAGCCAGAATTTGTGGGATCATATTCCATCCCTGACACTCACAGCTTGGACGATGAAAAAGTCTACTTCTTCTTTAAAGAGACCTCCGTAGAGTCCAACCAGCTCGACAAGCGTGTCTACAGTCGGGTGGCCCGTGTCTGCAAGGTGAGTGCCAAATCCAGCGCCGTAATGAGCCAATAAAAACATGAAATAGATCCAAAAGACCTTTGTTTGGTATGCAGAATCAATGAGTCTTTTGTAGGCATTAATGAATGGACGGGTAAGCCTCGGTATCATCTGTTGCACAGTAGCAGCAGCATGTATCTAATAATGAAAGAATGAAGTGTTTGTGTGAGAGTAATTAAACACTAATCTAGCATCAAATCTAGCAAACTAGATTTTCAGTACAGGGTTATCTTATCAGAGCATTCTTGAAGTGCTTCCAATATTTCATTTATTTAACGCTGTATTTGTTTGTAATGTATGAAAATGTAATGTATTCAATATTTGCTATTGAGATAATGTCATTGCTTAAGGCTTGAATACACTACACGATTTTTGCACCAATTTGCAGTCTTGAGGATTCAATGCTGTCAAAAGTCAGATTTATGGGATTTGGGCACAGAATCCAATGTTTTTAGCTTCAGAGTGATTCCATCCAACATGTGTGATATGTTGAGTCAATTTTACAACACATATTGTTTTTATTTGTCATGCGTCTCCTAGCAAGGAGGCACATTATATTTCTGTGTGAGTTTGGTGTGTTCAGAAAGGCTTAAATGTCTGGTAGTGTGATCCTTAGTCATTTAGTGTATTATGCCCAGTTTTTCCTCTGTAACCTTTTATGATGTCATTAAGTGTATGATGCCTAGATTTTAAAAGTTGTGTAGTGTATTGAAATCAAGCTCTCTGTGTTCATAAGAATGACATAGGAGGAAAACGAAGCTTGATTAATCGCTGGAGCACCTTCCTGAAGGCCAGGCTGGTGTGCTCAGTGCCAGGACCTGGAGGCATGGACACACAATTTGACGAGCTGGGTATGTTTACACACTCTAATCACACTTCAATCACCCATCTGTTATAGTCAACATGAACTAAAAAATTCACCCTAGTTATACTTTCTGCCCATTTCTTATGTTTAGAGGACATCTTTCTTTTGGAGACCAAAGATCCACAGAATCCAGTCATCTATGGTGTCTTCTCCACTTCCAGGTAGGTTCATTACCTGGAAAGTCTGTCATTCATTGGGTCACCACCCAATAATCCTCTTAACTTTTTAAAACGACATTCCTGCCAATGTTATATTTGTTTACCTCAATTTCTGCATTGGCTCCATCCAAATCAGCCAATCCGTCACACTCATTCCCATTTAACTAACCCTTCAGGTTCTCAGACCTCCCTTGTTCGTTCCAACAACCTAAATCTGATTATCTCAGTTTATCTTGTGAACTGACATCAGTATCAGAACGCCCCTAAAATCAACAGTCTGGTCACAGGATGGTCTCCGTCCCGCCCGATTCATCTAGAACAATCCGTCTCGGTGCTCCCACCCGAGGAATGGATAGCTTGAGGCCATAAGGGGGGGTGAAAGGTCACCAAGCTTGAAGAACTCTGTTATTCTAACCTGGCATCTGACTAATACATGTTTCCTTTTCAAAAGCTCCGTCTTCAGAGGTTCAGCCGTTTGCGTCTATTCCATGGCCTCCATCCGAGCTGCCTTCAATGGGCCCTTTGCGCACAAGGAGGGGCCCGATTATCGCTGGATGGAGTACAAGGGGAGGATCCCTTATCCACGGCCAGGGACGGTGAGTTCTCAACAGGGAGGAATTATGTTTGGCAGGGTTGAGAAGATGATATTTCATTTGGAGGGATGCTACTTTTTGCTTTCTGTTGACAATTTGAACAACGTTGGGTAGAGTCTAACTGTTACCTTGATGCTGCTATCACAAGTACACGCAAGATTTGAGATCTATGGTAAGTTGTTAAGTGTTAGGGCAGCTTGGAAACCTTGCGGCCAGTCACTCCTCGCTCTAACTGCGCTGGCTCAAGGGGACCGTAAAAGTGTCGTCAAGCACTCTAGGGGTCACGTGTCTGGGCAGTTTGTGAAGTGGCTGGAGTGTGGCCTTTTAGTGGTGAGGTCTCCAGAAGGAAGTCAATTATCAGGGCTGTGAATTCTGCTCCATTAATTGTCAAAGTCACAACCACAGAGTTGACCTGAACTCTCGAGTAGACAGATTAACCCTTTCAAATTATGGGGTTTAATGACTAGAAGGTGCAGTTAAGATCATGTTGAAACTAAAGGAACCTACCTTAGACTCATTTAACATGTAGTAGGACATTTTCATTCAGATGACATGTTCCTCCCTGCTGAAAAATCCAGCATGAATTCATGTTGGTTCAGGCTGGTTTATGCTGATTAGAGCTGGTATAGTGCTGGTCTAGCTGGATGACCAGAATAGTCATGCTGTTCTAAAGCAGAGGTTGTAATATTAGATTTAACTTTGCACAGGCAAGGTTAGTAAGCAAGTGTATCTTACTAGTTTCATGTTGACGCTTACTGTATAACATACACCGCTTTGGGGTTTTAGATGGACTCGCTTCAGTGGGTAAACTGACTCACAACAGAAGATTCCTTTAAAACTGCATTTCTCAATATGGAAAAATAAGAATTATGATGCTTGCTGCACTATGATCTCAAACAGTGGCCAAAATCCACATCTGCATAAATGTTTTTGACTATTTTTACCTTAGTCTGTGACTGTTATGCCAAATTCTCCACAGGGTTCCAAAATATGAGCTTAACTATGTGTCCTATGTCCCTTCAGTGTCCGAGCGAGACCTACGACCCATTGCACAAGTCCACCCGTGATTTCCCAGACGATGTTGTGAGCTTCATGAGGGCCCATCAGCTGATGTGGGAGCCAGTGGTCCCCATCCACAAGCATCCCGTCTTCACTCGGATCAACGCACCCTACAAGCTAAAGAAGCTTGTGGTTGACAGGGTTGATGCAGAGGATGGCCAATATGATGTCTTACACCTTGGCACAGGTATGTTGGAAAGTGGTTAACATATGCAAAGAGCTGAATCTTTTACACTAGTAAAAAAGTGTGACAACTAGCCCTTGTGTTCCAACATCACTTCTTATAATTGTCTTTTGTCGCATTGCGCCGCTCGCATCAGTTGTAGACACAGTGTTAGACCTAAATTGCACTACAAATGTGCAAATCTCCTAGATAGGCTACCAGATCCGGCAAACGCTATCAAAGATGTTCCCATGCTGGTCAGTGGTCTTGTTGCCTGGGATCATCCTAACATTCCGATGAGCCAGTGTTTCTTTTCCTGTCTGAACATTTGTCCTCCTGGACTGATGGGTGTGTGCTTGAAATCTGCCACATCTAAGTGAATCATGTAGGACAAATAGATACTCTGTTCAGGACAAATATGCTTAACCTGTGTGTACAGAGAGCAGACTTGCAATTTTACACTGTGTAGGACTAGAACGGTGTAACAGCTGCCAGCCCTCAGGGGGCTGGATAAATACACACGCCAAAAGCCAGTGCTCACTTTACCATGGTAACTAAGGAAGGGTGCATTATGGGATATATTTAAAGGTTAATGTGAATATCTATCTATCTATCCATCCGTTCATCATCTGTCTATCGATCTACTATCTATCTATCTATCGATCGATCGAAATCTCACACAGTTAATCTTCTGTATCTCCAGATGATGGCAAAGTAATAAAGGTGGTCTCTGTACCTAAAGAGAACTGGGAAACTGAAGAAATCATTCTAGAGGAGTTGAATGTCTTCAAGGTAATTGAATAAGATGTAATTCTCTTTCTCTCTCTCTCTCTCTCTCTGTCTCTCTCTCTCTCTCTCTCCCTCTCCTGCTGGTTTTGTCATGCCATCTGCTGGACTCCCTCATGACCCCTGACCCTGGGCTCTTATTGGTTGTTGTTTTCATGTCAAGCACTTCCCAAACAAAAATAACTCCTAAAGAAGAAAAACAGATTGCTCTAAGATTTCCCATGGCTGTCTACTTAGACATGGTCCTCACTGCAGAACACGAAATCCAGGGGGAGGAGTTGGATCCAGATCCAACTCCTCCCACCTTACATATGCCTAAACCGGGGGTAGGCAAGTTCGGTCCTAGAGAGCCGCTGTCCTGCAAAATTTTGTTCCAACCCTAATCAAACGCACCTGAACAAGCTAATCGATGTCTTCAGGATTACTAAGGCTATAGGCAGGAGAGGTTTTTTTTAATGTTGGAGCTAAACTCTGCAGGACAGCGGCTCTCTAGGACCGAACTTGCCTACCCCTGACCTAAACCTACCCATCTCTGCCTCCTGATCCCTAACCCCACCCCTAATCCTACCCATCTCCACCCCCTGATCCCTAACCCCACCCCTAATCCTACCCATCTCCGCCTCCTGATCCCTAACCCCACCCCTAATCCTACCCATCTCCACCCCCTGATCCCTAACCCCACCCCTAATCCTACCCATCTCCGCCTCCTGATCCCTAACCCCACCCCTAATCCTACCCATCTCCACCCCTTAGATCTGGATCCAACTCCGCCCCCTGGATCTTGTGTACTGCAATGAGGTGCTACTGTCTACTTAAGTGACCAAACCCAGGGACAGGAGAGGCAGTTAACTCAGAAATATTGATTTGTATTGATACTGATATACTGAATACTGATTTATCTAAACCTTTAGACAATGAGGGATGTGTCAGTTTTGCTCTGTGGGTGAAGGAAATGTAAGCAGTCATATGGTTAAATAGGAGATTCCTGGAGAATTTCTGTAGTATAATAAAGGATTTATAATAGCATTTAGCTTAGAGTTATCATTTCTTAAAAATATATGTAGTCCATGCCACTCATGTGCTATATGTTAAGCCTATAGTCAGACAATAACTTTGTGTGAGGAACAGACCAAAATGTCACTTACAATTTAAATTATTCACTGAATACTACTGCATCCCTCAAATCTTATTTGTTTCTGACCAAAACAGAAACAATTGGTATGTACATTATGAATCGCTAGTATGTCAAGTAATCAGTCAAACCTATCAGAAGACATATGATAGCAGACATTGCCCACCGGCCATTTGGAGAGCCAGAGTCGTTTTAAGAGTCAAGGCTCATTTGCTGCTGTATATAAAAGAGAAACGAACCAATGGAGCAGAAAGCTTTAAAACATTCACAAGGGCCTGTTATGATGAGCTGCTCTTATTCAGCGCCAACAATGCGTGTAGTCCCCCACTTTGTTCGGGAGTTGATTCATTTTATGTGTTGCCATTTTTCTTCCTCTCTTTTTTCGTTCTGTAGACTCCGACCCCAATACTGAGCATGGAGCTCTCCACCAAGAGGGTAAGTGGACGTGTTTGGTGGGTGGTCACTAAATAATGCTATAAGGACTTTATGAGCATCATGATTCTGCTTTCAAACCCACCACACATCCTCATTTTTTATTTGATATCTTCTCTAGCAAGTGCTGTTTGTAAGCAGTGATGAGGGTATCGTCCAGCTTCCGGTGCAGAGATGTGATCTCTATGGTAAAGCGTGTGTAGACTGCTGTTTAGCTCGAGACCCATACTGCGCTTGGGACGGCTCCTCCTGTACTAACTACTTCCCCAGCAACAAAAGGTACAACTTATTCTACTAGTTGACATGTAGTCACAAAGTTATTTACAGTTAGTTGAATGTCTAAAGTGGATTATTGAAATAAAGTGAAAGCTTATTTATTATTGGCCTAATTAATAATACTGAAAACCACCAGCAAACCTTTGAAATAATGCATCTGAGGGTTGGTCCTAAGGCGGCTAATATCCTCTTGTGGTCCGCAGGCGCGCCCGGAGACAGGATGTGAGGTATGGAGACCCCTGGAGCCAGTGTCAGGACATGAGAGACGGTAATAAATCACACTGTGTTCACGACTCTTCACCATCAGGTTGTATATGATATTGCCCAGTCCTGGAAAAAAGAATGCACACTACTCCCTCTAGTGTGCATAATGGATACTAACACATGCTAAGATGTGTGCACCAGTTCAATATGAAATACAAACTGATTCTGTTTACTTTCTGAAAGCAAGTTTTTGGTGTTTCTGTGACAAATAATTAAAACATGTTTCAAAGAAATAAAATAAAAAATCTTTTAGGAAGCTAAATACCCTGACTCACAGTGAAGATTTTTTTCATTCGAGCGGTGTTTAGAAGAATATGTAAATATGTTGTACGCTTTCCACTCAATAACAAAATAAATTCAACCAAAATTACAGGGAATGTTTACATCTCCACGTCAAAAAAGGGGAAACTTTTGGGAAAGATCGCTTTGGCCAAACAAACTTTCATTTGGCCTGATTTTGTTCGAAATTGTCACCCCTGTTTATTCTTTAAGTATATCAGGCCTTACACATTTTTCATAAACACTTTTTGTTATGTTGGTTGAAACTCTCTTCACATCCTGATAGCAAACAATAATAGAAGTGGTCTAAAAATTTAAACCTATGTCTTCTGTGGAAGTCTCAGGACCAAAAAAAATTCGTCCAACTTGTGACGCTTTGCAGACTTTGCTGTGTGCGTTCATGAGTTTAAAAGGAGGCGTGACTTTGGAGACGCTCTGAAGGGAGGGTGGGATCTTGCGCTTTCAAAGCTAGCTCACTATTGCTAACCTCACCGAAATTGCCTACCCTGCCTTTAAAAGTGTCCATTCCTCTCTGCAGGTTTAGAGCAGCCTGAACTGAAGACGATATACGGCGTGGAGACGAACTCAACCTTCCTGGAATGTGTCCCACGTTCACCACAAGCCACAATCAAGTGGATAATTCACCCAAACAACAACCAGAACAGCAAAGAGGTCCGTCCACATCCTGTTTTTAGGATGTAAACATTTGTAAACTGATAAGTGGATACACACTTAACTCACTTCTACACTAACACAAACCAATTTCTGTATCTCAGTTGTTTCCAGGTGAAGAAAACCTCATCCACATGCAACGTGGGCTTCTCATCCAGCAGCTAACATCGGCTAACGCTGGGCTGTACCTCTGCGTAGCCTACGAACACTCGTTCTCCCGCACGCTAGCCCGGTACGAGCTACACGTCATCCCCCAGAACAACATGTCGAGAGCGCAGAACACCCAAGCCGGAAATTACGCAGCCTCGCCGCGAAGCTTAAAGGAACTACATTTAATGGGAGTTAGCGGGCTAACGGCTGACGAGTACTGTGAACATCTTTGGTATCGTGAAAAACGGCGACAGCAAAAACTTCGCACGCTAAAGTGGAAGCAGGTGTCTGAAAACCGTAAAGCAAGAGTTAGGCGACAAAATCCACCCTACGAGCCTCTAGATGGAGGTGAAATTGCAGACTTTTGATGAAAAGGAAAGTGTGACTTTATCTGGACAATTAGCATCTTGTTTGTAGCTTAATGGCTACAAAGGCTACTTCCAACTAGCGGCAACCACCAATCGCTACTAGCACAACAACAAAGGGCTACAGACATTGAGAACTTTTATTATTTTTCATTAAGTCCTCTCTTAAGTTTAATTTTTGTAGCCTGTGCTAGTGTTAGCATGTAGCTTTAACACAGTATAACCAAACAGCCTGTAGCTGTGCAACTACGAATTTGTGCAATCTGGCATCCAGCTAAACACATTTTGCATTCATTTTCTGTAATATTTTCATTGTATTTCTGTTGTTTGTCAACCTTCTTGAAAGACAAGCATCTATGCTAAATGCTATGTATGGTTGGAAAGCTAATACTGAAAATGGACAATCTAACACGCTGCCCAAAGCTAACAGCAGTGGAAAGATGAACTGACTTCTCTTGCTTTCACCTGGCATGTAGATTAAACAGATCTGTATATCATTGTATTGATATTATATTTGGACTATTGATAGTCAAATGTACAAATTTGTAGTTTGTTCTGACAACAGCAGGTGCCTCCATGTTCAGAGGAAGTTTGCCCAGGATGTACCCTTCATGTTTCCTTCCTTTTCAAGAACAATCTCTTCTGCTCTTTCCTGAGAACATCCATGAGTAAATATTGTGTTTGTTTAATGACTTCTATGCATGTAATTTTGTAAAGAAAAGCAAAGCTCTCCACAACAGCTCAGCTCGTCTCTTGTGTGTACAGTTATCTAAAATGTGCTGTGTGTCGGAGCATCTGGGAGTGATAGATGATGGCCTCCATGGATTCATCAAAGGGCTTTTAAAATGATTTTGACTGCCCATGAAAATGACTTCCAGAATCCTCAGGCCTTTGTTCTTTTCTACCACATCTGAATGAAATCTAAAATAGGTTCATTGTTGATTGGTTAAAGTGGTAAGTTAGTTAAAGCTAAATGTTTCATGTTCGTTGATTGAATAACAGAGCTCACATGTTGGGTTACTCGAGTTAATGTTCGTATAATGTATTGTCTTAAAAATGGTCATATGTATTGAGAATATATTTTCTGGCTATATACCTATCAGAAGAACCATTTTTTTATCTCTAGATTTTTAGCACAATAGTGTATTTCTGTAATAGTAGTTGCTATATTTAAATTCCTAATACATGATTTAATAACTGTACACTCTACTATTCAAAAGTTTGGGTTCATTAATACTTTTCTTCAGGCAGAATAATTAAATGAATCAGAAGTTAAAATTATTATTATTATTATTAAATCATCATATTAGAGTTATTTCTGAAGGATCATGTGACACAAAAGACTGGAGTAATGATGCTGAATATTCAGCTTTACTATCATAAAAATAAATTACAATTTTAAATATATTCAAACATAAGTTATTTTAAAAATTTAAAAATATTTCACAACATTACTATTTTACTGTATTTTTGATCAAATAAATGTCGCCTTAGTGAGCACAATATAGGCTACTGACCCAAGAATTTTTAATGGTGTATATTTGTTTAATGTCAGTAACGGCTTTTTTGAACTTTTGAACGGATATGTATGTAGGCTATGTGTAGCCTATATCAATATGATGGCAGTTAGCTGCGTATGTGGATCTATGATCGTCTATGAAATACTTCATACAGAAACTATTTTTAAACCCCTGCAACATTTTTTTTTCTTTTGAGGTGAAGAAAATGGTGATAACTGAAACTCGAGGTCGATGTGAAATCATTTGGTTTAATCACACATCCTGCTGTGGGAGAGACTTTGTGGTTCATTGTTTGTGGTGCAAAGCAAGTGAAACATTTTAGGCTACTGAGCTTGTCTCAACTTTAATAAAGAAATGTTAGGCACAACACAAGTATTGAAGATCACCGATATTACGTTAGCCAGTTATCTGAAACAAATATGCTAGCAATTTCTACATAAAATTTGATGAAAGTGATGCTTTTGAAAACATATTTCTGACAATAAATGAAAGACTTTTGAAATGGCATGTCTATTTTGTCTCGGCGGAGCTGAGATGAGAACAATCGGTACACGGCCGTATTCTTGTTCGGCTGCTTAATCTCGTTGTCAGTCGACCGTGATCGCGCACCGCTCCAGCAAAGCACTAATCAATTGAACCAATACATAAAATGATTCACTGTTTCAAAGCGCAAGAAACCCACAGGCTGGTCACGTGGCACCTGGGGGTCAGAGAACAGTGTAAATGCAACGAAAACTCAGCCCAAACATGTATAGGGGGGAGTGGGGTAAGATGAGCCAGTGGGTAAGTTGACCTACCCCCTTTATCTTGGCAACTGTATACTTTTATTGTCTTTTGACCATATATTTTGGAACCACCCATCATTTCTGCCAGACTGTAAAAAGGAGAAGCACATGTCATGTGAGGAGTGGAAAGCACCCGTTTACTTTAAAAACAGTTTTTGGCTTGTCAAGTAAACTTTTAGCATAACAGATGTAATGGCTGTTACATCACAGCAAATTTGTCCAGGTCTAAAATATGTATTATCCATATTGGTGATTTAGCAATGTATAAAACCATGCAAATCATTTAGCTAAGTATTAGCCTGAATTGGTAAGTTAGTTTTATCCAAAATGGCAGCTAAGGGGCAAAGTGATGCTCAGTTTACACACTCCTCAACTTCCCCACTGACTTACCCCTAACCTGGGGCAAATTGAGCCACAGGAACACTTTTTTATAAGAAGCCATATTTTTAGAACCCTTTGTCATAGACGTATTCTGATCATTTAAAATGATTGTAAACATCCTGACAGTGTTGTGCCTGAACGTATACTTTTGAAGTATGAACTATGAACTGAACTAGTTCATTTTAAAATTTGTGAACTGAACTTTGAACTAGTTCATGTAGAAAATGAACTTTCCCAACACTGATCCTGAAATTACTTTAGATACTTGCATTGCACTTCTGTCTAATTTTCTCTTATCTTGAGGACCACATGAGTAAAAAAAAAAAAACTTGACTCATCTTACCCCACTCTCCCCTGATGAAAATGCATGTATAAATTGCCTTTTACAAGCCAATTGTAAATGTTTTTTTTTCTTCATTATACAAGGTTTTGCCACAGATAAATAGCCGCCATGGCAAAGAGCACTCACTATTTCGCAATCATCTTTAACATTAAGCGTTTTATGTAGCTACTGATTCCATTTATATATTGTCTTTTGCCTTCCAAATCTGTACTGGCAAGAAAACAGATTGTTGCCACAGTGTTTCCCAACGAAAAGTGTTTGACTTACAGAATGCAAGTAGAAATTACATTTCTAACAGTCCCCTTTTCAAAAATGGACACTCGTTTATGGATTCACCAGATCAATGGCATATATATATATATATATATAAAAAAAATTCACAGCATGGTTTAAAGCGGTATGACATAATGAGGCCGTGTTTGCTGAAACTAGTGACTTAGCAAGTTTAATACAAGCTTCAAATCACTGATTCAAAATTAAAAATTCATCAATATTTCATTAATACCACCACTAATGGTGTCTGTGTTTCTTTAAGGACTTCTATTTTTATATAATTCTGTTTCATTGTTTCCATTATTACATTTCCTGTGACTTGGTTTCCTTCCTGAGTATGTTTAAGTTTTTTTTCTAAAAAACTTTTTTTTCTTAAGTTTGTTGTTTAGTTCCTCATTTTCTCTAATTAGACATGTATTCCATTTATTCTTTGGTTCTGTCCTCAGAGTACAGAATGAGTCAGTATTTCGTCACAAGGATTTTTCTGAGTACAGCATGTTACTGTAGATTTTGTCATTTTCACATCATTATTACTGTATTCTTAACAGTTTCCTATTGTATAAGCTGTTTACAATATGCTACTGTATTTTCAATGCATTCTGGGAAAATGTTAGCCTGCTGTTTGTTGCCAGTAAGTTACTGTTGATTTTACATTAAAACATTTTTACAGTGACGGCAAGGTGTTTGGCTTCTCAAATGAAATGCTTGGAAAACTAAAAACTAAATAATTGGAAAGGTTCTGCATACATCACCAGTGTCCTGCATAAAACATTTTCACTGGAAAGTCTTGTTAGGGGATTTTGATTAAACATTATGAGGTCAGATACTTAAAAAAAATATGCACCAATGCACGGGGGAATTTTTCACAATATGATCTATTACATGCATTTTGAAAACAGATACAGTGAATTTTCATTGTATGTTGACTTTAAGTTATGTCTCTGTCAAAAAGTCAAAGGGGAAAAACATCTTCTTAGGACATCCTTCCTTGATAAAGATAAATGTTTGTGGTTTGTTATTTGCATAGATTGCAAATCAGAGATATTGTGTGACTTATCTGAAACAAATTTTGTTGCATGGGTCTGTTTCTAACCCAGCTACAGAAAAACATTTGTGGAAATTCAGAATTGTAGTTAAGCACAATATGAAACAGTTCAGATATTGTTAGCCTACATAGACTTGTTCTAAAACTATAGAAAATGATAAGAGCCGCCGTCATGCTTGAAGACATTTCTACAAATGTAGGCTACATGTGATTTAACAGCAGACGACTTTTAAGTCTTTGTGTTCAATTTATTTCAACAAAATGTTCATGATGAAAAATGAAACAAAACGCAAAGCCATATGTAAAATTCAAGCGATTTTATTATGATGACGTTAGCGGAAGCTTAATGGCATGGCAATTCCAAATGTTGAAATGTTGAATAGACAATAGCCTAAACACGATATGTTGTAAATACATAATGCATTACGTTCGTTATTTCTTAGCTCTCCTGATAAGCATTTTATCATTTATGGTCGTTATTAAAATATATACTGTAAACTTTAGCAGTAGCAGATACTTTCTATGTACAGGTCCTTCTAAAAAAATTAGCATATTGTGATAAAGTTCATTATTTTCCATAATGTAATGATAAAAATTAAACTTTCATATATTTTAGATTCATTGCATACCAACTGAAATATTTCAGGTCTTTTATTGTTTTAATACTGATGATTTTGGCATACAGCTCATGAAAACCCAAAATTCCTGTCTCAAAAAATTAGCAAATCATGAAAAGGGTCTCTAAACAAGCTATTAACCTAATCATCTGAATCAACTAATTAACCCTAAACACCTGCAAAAGATTCCTGAGGCTTTTAAAAACTCCCAGCCTGTTTCATTACTCAAAACCGCAATCATGGGTAAGACTGCCGACCTGACTGCTGTCCAGAAGGCCATCATTGACACCCTCAAGCAAGAGGGTAAGACAGAAAGAAATTTCTGAACAAATAGGCTGTTCCCAGAGTGCTGTATCAAGGCACCTCAGTGGGAAGTCTGTGGGAAGGAAAAAGTGTGGCAAAAAACGCTGCACAACGAGAAGAGGTGACCGGACCCTGAGGAAGATTGTGGAGAAGGACCGATTCCAGACCTTGGGGGACCTGCGGAAGCAGTGGACTGAGTCTGGAGTAGAAACATCCAGAGCCACCGTGCACAGGCGTGTGCAGGAAATGGGCTACAGGTGCCGCATTCCCCAGGTCAAGCCACTTTTGAACCAGAAACAGCAGCAGAAGCGCCTGACCTGGGCTACAGAGAAGCAGCACTGGACTGTTGCTCAGTTTTGCATGTCATTCGGAAATCAAGGTGCCAGAGTCTGGAGGAAGACTGGGGAGAAGGAAATGCCTGAAGTCCAGTGTCAAGTACCCACAGTCAGTGATGGTCTGGGGTGAAATATTTCAGTTGGTGTGCAATGAATCTAAAATATATGAAAGTTTAATTTTTATCATTACATTATGGAAAATAATGAACTTTATCACAATATGCAAATTTTTTAAGAAGGACCTGTAGATGAGGGGCGGAAACTCTTGTGAAAGCAAAACACGAGGCGTGCTTAACACAGGTGAAAAATGAGTAACAGCAAGCCAGCTTGCAATGGTCCGGGACACACGTCGTGAAACAGGGACGTCTGGACACTTGAAACTGCTGCTGTAGGTCCATTTCATGAGCTTGTTTGTTGCATCAGGGAAAACACTTTATCATTACCAAGATTGCTAAAAAAAAAAAAAAAACACACATTAAGAACTAGCCTACTGGAAAATAACATTAGCCTATGCCTATGTTCATTATTCTTACAAATAGAGTTCTCTTACGAGAGGTTCTCTCGTATTACGCAAGCTAGCTTACGCTACGGGAAAGATTCATCTTTTCTGAAATATTAAAGCCAAAAATTATCCTTAATTTTGTATCCATTGTCAACGCAGTGCAGCAGCTGCAGACCTTGAGCGGGCTAGCTAGCGAGCTCATTGGTTGCTCTGCGGCAACTGCTGCAGCCTATGGACGAACAGAATAAACTCGCGTCCAATGAGAGGCGCTCGCGCCTTCATCACATCACAGCCCGCCAAACTGGGCGTGGCTAGAGTGTATATTAGCGAGGTCCGAAGGCTGCATCCCTGATTTTCATCTCTTCAGCGAAGCTCTTCGCATCTGATACACAGAAGCCGCGTCGCCGTCTGAGGGGCATTTTAGCGAGCTTGGACAGCGCTTGAAGAAGCCGGCCGTCTTCGCCACCTTCAGCCATCCGGCAAGCTACGCCATCCGGTGACATATCCTTTTTAGAGCTAGCTAGTTCCTCAGTGAACTTCACAAAAGAGCACGAGCGTCTTTTTAAAGATGCCTCGCACCACCTGCGGCTCATGCCGCGCCCCTCTCAGCGCCGGAGACCGCCACCTCATCTGCGGTCTCTGCCTGGGACTGGAGCATGCAGAGCTCGCTCTCGCTGACGGCGGATGCAACCTCTGCGAGGAGCTTCCAATGTCGACCCTGCGGGCTCGACTCGAAGCATTCAAAGCCAAAGCCGCCGCGCCGCCTTTCGTCTCGCCGCGCAAGAAAAAGCGCCGCTCCCAAAGGCTGCCAGAACCGGTGCTGGAAGCGACTGTCTCGCCCGGAGCCTCTCCCTCGAGCCTCGCTTTCACCCCCCCGCCCTCCCCGGACGCGCAGTTGCCGCCGCGGCCGCACTGCTGCCATCTCGGATGACGGGGCGGAGGTAAAGGACTGCTGTTCCGTCATGGCTTTGGACAGCGAGGAGTGGTCAGGCTCCCTCGCCTCCTCCTCGGCCCACGAATCCAGCAGGACCCGCGCCGGAGTCGAAGAGGAATTAATGCGCCTCCTCACACAGGCCGTCGACCGCCTTGGGCTCGAGTGGTCACCGCCCCCTGAGCAGGCCCCCAACAGACTCGACGGCTGCTTTCTATAGAGCCGCCACCGTGCGTCACGGCGTTGACAATGGGTTCCCGTAGCGTAAGCTAGCTTGTGTGAACAGTGAACTGTGAAGGAGTGACTCTGGAGAAGCGGATGTGAAGGAGAGCTGTGGGAAAGCTGACCTACTTTCACTTTGACAGAATCGCTGGGTGGACACGGTTGTAACAAAGGTTTGTCGCAAAAGTTTTCTGTATTTATAATATATGTATATATATATATATATATATATATATATATATTCATTGTGTGAATTGCAGTGACACCTATTTGGTGCTTTTAATTGGAAATTAAAACTGACTGGAACTGGAAGTTCTTGTTTGGAAAGAATGAGTAATAATTAGTGAGATGTTTTTATGTGCCAGGATTTACTTCACATAACTGGAGATGACTGCTTCCAAATATGCCATGCCTACTGGTTTTGGAGGTTGAAGATATTTCTGAGAGTCTTTTGGCTACATTCTGTGTTACAATTCATTGTTTCCAGCATGGAATTCTGCCAAAAAAATGGAAATGTCAGGAGGTAGGCCAACATGTTTTTTTTTTCTTCTACATAGGCCAACTAATCCACACTAAAACATATTACATAAATATGAATGTAAATATTATTGGCAATTATACATTTTTTCCCAACACATACTTATTTTATAATATCTTTTATTTTTAGATGATTTAGAACAACAAGCCAAGCCCTTACTAAAGCTTTTGTGTCTTGTTTCAAAAGCATGACTAATAATATGATACGAATAATATGATTATATGGACAAAACAGCTGGTGTTACATTATACATGGATTGTGAATGCCGTTTCCTTAATTTACTTGGACATCATACATGTGTAAAGATGTTGAGAATTCAGTGAAAGAACATGCATAAGTGTATTGCAGGGATGTATGTTCTGTCTGCAGTAGTATAGCCACAGTGGAGGAAGATGGGGGAAAAAGACAGATTTGAATTGAAATCTGAAGCATTTATCTTACGCCCTGTTTACACCTGGTATTAAGATGTGTTTTCATTGTTCCGATCAGAAGTGGTTAATTGAGACGGAGAGAATGAACGAAGCCATGCTAGACTTTACGTAATGAGCGAGTGGAAATGGAAGTGAATGGACAGATCGTAATCTGTGTGTTTTGGCACAACATAGCCAAGTTGGAATCGATTGTTTTGGTGCACTTTCTCAAAAGACAACACTCTGGCGTTAGGTCGGTGGGAGAGAATGAGCAAGAGGGAGATTTGAACTGAAGAAAGACTCCAGAATTAGAGATGAGACACAAGACAAAAAAGAAAATCTCTAAAGAAATCACTGGAAAATAATGTGTTATGTCTGGGCAAGAGCTTTATAGGACCCATGTTAATATTAGAAAAGCTGTCCAGCGCTGGAGAGAGCGAAGCGGGAAGGCCTGAAAACAAACACAGATGTTGCTTTGATTCGCTCCATATGTGAGTAACAATGGGTTTGTGTGTCATTGTGTGTCTGCTGTGCTGTTGGCAACTAACAACCAACTATTGTTTGTAATTACCATTGTGTAGTGTACGTTAATTGTCGTTCGTCCATCATCTGCGCTTTATTTTTCGTGAAGCATTATTCAGTTGCGCTTCTGTATAAACAGACATGCACTCCTGGATTGCGTGCGTAACGGATGACAGCTAGTGTGAGTCGAGCTGACGACTGCTAGTCAATGCGGTGTTTAGCGTCATTGTTAGTGCACTCTAGGGATGGGCGTATCGAAACAAATGATACGTTCCAATTCGCCTACTTATACTACGCCCTAAAAGTATGTACTCTTTTTGGGAAGAAAAAGTACATAATTTTGAGTGTGTAGCAAAAGAGTAGGCAAGCTTAGGGACGTACTACTTCGTCATCTTTAACGGACAGATCTGTCGCGAGCATCCTATCGCCTTAAACTGCCCTGTCAATCATCTCGTCACAGTTAAAATCCTCCATTCATTCTAAGTTAATTTCTTACGGTTTCGGAGAGAAATGTTGTAGCACATTCATCTGCCAGTCATGGGTCTTTCATGCGGAGACTCTTCTCGTGTGTTTGGAATTTGAATAGGCCTATAATAATGCATTTAAAAGTTAATGGCTAAACGTATCTTTGCAAAAGTTCACAATGCTGCTGCAGATACAATATAATGTGGACAACATTTAATAAATACATTTTCATCTGGTTAGATACTAATAATTAATCACTCAAACCCCTTTATCTAAACCTCTAGATAAAGCGCGTCGGACTCGCGCGTCCTCCATGTCTGTAGTTTTTTAACACTTTTCACTAATGTTTGTAGTTCTAACCGAATCCTCGTCCAACGCGCGATGGGTTGTGGGCAACATCAGCCGTCAGAGTGTGCATCGATCTGCACTTCGGATTCTGACCGGGTATAGTAGACCTTCCGGGTCTCTTTGGGACACTCATTTCAACCTACTACGATTTGGGACGTACTAATTCTATTTTCGAATACTATTTAGGACGGATAGTATGCCAATTGGGACGCAGCAAAAGTATCAATATATCGATACTGACGTCGAGTATCGAAAGTATCGATACTCAAATAAAAATATCGATACGACAGTTGTTGTTTTTTTTACCAGTGATTTTGTTTATTTGACAAGAAGTTTAATGCGTACAATATGCATTGAATTGGATGAATAACCTGTTTAGTAAATAATTGTGTAACTATTTTCCTGCTTATCTGAACACACGCAAATGCTGCAAGTCAGAAGCAATCAATCACAGAGAGCGTTCACACACTGCCGACAATGCATTCAAACAGGGCTGCGTTTCCCAAAAGTATCACAAGAAACCATTGATGCTTTTGGGAAACGCAGCCCAGAACAATGCTTAACAGAAGACAGAAAACTACATAGTTTTTGCAAATAAATAATTTTTTGAATGTTAAAAGTTCATAGTTCTATTCTGTAACTAATTTTAATATAAATCAGACACTGTCAGAATAAAAAGGTTGCATTTTATGGGTGCAACAACGGTCACTGGCAGTCCCTTATGAAAATTAACATTACAGTGATCATAGTTCAACTAGGCCTATAATATTTTGTAGATTTCCATGGTTACCACTACAAGTAAACATTGTAACCACGTGTAAATAAAAATATAATCTAATAAGTTCTAATTAAGGCGTATTGAATGTTAAAATGCCTTTAAAATATAATGTTAAATCGGTATCATTACCCATTTTAATCTTAGTAATTCAATAATTTAAGAAGTTTTCAAATTTAAAAGTTCAGTTTAGAAGTATCGGTATTGATATCGGCGATACTGGCCTTGAAAGTATCGGTATCGTATTCGAAAACAAAATAAGTGGTATCGCCCATCCTCGCCTCGCTTGCAGGGCTTAGGGTTTCGAGACCGACTCGGGACGGGGCGCTCATGGTGCGTTCTATTATAGCCAACGAACCGACTCGGACCTCGGATATGACGTCACGTCGACACTTCAAGCGTTCTATAATGTTTTGCGCGTCCGAGTCGGAGAAAAAAATGGACGCCACCCGTTGTAATGGTAGCACTGGCCGAGTACCAAGCGCTCCAAAATAAGTATGTGCTTCACCTTACAGAACACCGAGGAAGAACTTGAACTTGAACTTGAAAATGTTCACTTTATTTAATGTTTTTCATGTTAATCTTCTGTTAGCAACGCTAGCAACGTTAGTAATTGCACTCACAACAACCGATTCCCATACCTACAGGGGACGCAGTAATACGAGTGATTATAATGGTCATTTAAAATACCAAAGCGGTTCAAAAACAATGAAAACAATTCATACTTACAAGTCACACAGGGCGCAGCCATCTTGAATTCCGAAACGGAATTCTTGCTCGGTGTCCTCACGGTTGTCCGACGTCCGAGAGGAGAAATCCGAGGTAGGGGGCGTGTTGCTAGGCAACGTCTGTCTTCCGATTCGGATCTCCGAGACGGATAAATAATGGAATGCACCATTAGGATTGGAGTGTGAGTTTTGGAGGCGGAGCAATGAAGAGAGGGGTGTGTTTGTTTGGGTTGATTTCAAATATCAACATTGGCCAACGGCATATTTAAAAAACTACTGATCCCACCTTTAATGTCGTCTGCATTTAAAATCTTTTTCTGTGTTTACAGACGGGGGTTATTTTATTTCCTGCTTGTGTTTCTTTTAATAAATGAAGGTGAGTGCTAAAATGAACAATTATTTCAGAAGCAAATTTCTACCTTTCTTGTCTGCTAAATCATACTTGCTTCTTTTTTATAACTTCTCTCTGTTTTCAGTGTCTCTGCAGGAGACCGTTGAGGGTTTTATCGGAGGCTCTGCTGTTTTACCGTGTTCGTCTGAAGAACATCAGCTTAAACTTCAAGACATCACTGTGCAGTGGAGACACAACAGACTTAGTGTATATCACATTATTGAGGGTAAAGACTCTGTAGAAGCACAGGATCCGGCATACAAGAACAGAACTGAAACCTTCCCTGAGGAGTATCTGAATGGAAACTTCTCACTCAAACTCTACAATCTTCAACACACTGATGCAGGAAAGTACACGTGCTTCATCACACAGGATTCAGTGCTGAAATCTGTCCAGAATGTTGAGCTTTTGATTAAAGGTGTGTAAAACCAAATGATTGACAAAAATGTCCACATACTCTTATAACATACATTCTACCATAGAAACATAAAAGGATACACTTGTGTGTTTATCACTGAACCTTTGTAATTGTTTTGTCTTTCAGAGAGACAAAAAATACACCGTACAAAAAACGCAAATGAAGGATCGAACCAAAAACCAGAGATGATTGTAATGATCATTTCCACTCTGTGTATTGGCATTATATTTTATTTGAGCTGTAAGTACATTTAGCAATGTTAACAGCGTGATCAACATGTACTTCATATTGCAAGTACTGTAGGTGACAACCTCTAATTAAATATTGTAACAATGTTTTACAGAACACCCAGTTTCTTTCCATTACTGACTTCCAGTTCCAATGACTCAACATGAACCGCACAGATTCCTGGAAACAGCTGGATGGCTTCATTAGATATTACTCTATTATTACTGCTATTTTTAGCCCATATAAACATTTTGTGTAGTTGTGCAAACACCAGCATGAATTGAATGTGTAAAAGCTCTCTTATAGTGCACATGTCTTGTTGAAGGTAGACGTGAGTGATGATTTGTGCTTGTTTTACAGTATTGTGATGATTATGCTGGTTATACCGTTATGCCTGTCACTACATATCTAAAGTTCACTTACTTCGCTTGTCTCAAATTTTTTGCAAAATTACAACTTAGATCACATACGAAAGGCCAATACAATGTTTAATGTGAACCAATTCCCAGGCCACATGTGATGCACTGTAGTAAGTACAATTTATGTTTCATAAAGTGATATAAAGTGAATGTACTCTACTGATAACACCTAGTTTTCACCAGTTCATCATAAATGGCCTGTCCGTAAGAAATCGACAGTACTTGTTTTACAGCATCATTCAAAGACAAAACACATGACACTAAAATAATGAAGAAAAAACAACAATAAAACACTAATGTGCATAATCGATAACTAAAATAAGCACTGAATTATCCCGACAGACTTCTGTAATTGTCATTTTACTGTTTTGAAAATTCTGTCAGTAATTACTCACCCTCATGTTGTTTCAACCCCGTAAGACTTTCGTTCATCTTCGGGAACACAAATTAAGATATTTTTTATTAAATCTGAGAGCTGGATCACTCATCCAAAGGCTTCTTAAGGGATCGAAACTGGCAGGCCCAGAAAAGTTAAAGACATCGTTAAAATAGTCCGAGTGACTACAGTGGCTCAATCTTAAGTTTATCAAGCGACGAGAATACTTTTTGGAGAAACGGAAGGTCTGAAATATAAGTGAATTGCTTTAAATACAAATATTAAAACCTTAAAATCAACTCTGAATTAAACCAATGAAGGGATGCCATCACAGGTGTGAAATGTTCCTTCTTTTTTATCCCTGTCAAAAAACGAGCCCTAGCGTTCTGTACCAGTTGTAGGCATGAGAGAAAGGACTGATTTATTCCAGCATATGTGTTACAATAGTCCAGCCTGGTTGAGATGAATGCATGGATAACAGTCTCCAAATCACTGAAACTTAGATAATTTTTGAGCTTGTGAAGTCCCCTAAGCTGCAGAAAACTGGCTCTAAACACAGAGTTGATTTGTTTGTCAAATTTTAACTCAGGATCAAGGGTACTTGTAACTCCCAGATTTTTTTACTTTATCACGAATGTTATCTTGAAGGGGGCCCACAGTATGACTTAATTTATTTAAAAGGTGTAAAGGGCCAAACAACATAACTTTAGTCTTTTTCTGATTTAGTTGAAGGAAATTGTTGTCCATCCAAGCCTTAAAGTTATCCAAACAAGTTAGCAAAGAGGACACTGAATAAGTACCTGATTTTAGAGGAAATAGAGGTGAGTATCATCGGCATAAATATGATATGAAAAGTTATGGGACTCAAAAATAAAAGGAAGAGGGAGTAAATAGAGAGAAAATAATGTTGGACCCAGAATGGAGCCCTGGGGAACCCCACAAATGACAGGAACTGAGCTTGATGAAAATTCTCCAATTTCCACCGAAAAACTCCTTTTTGTGAGATATGATGAAAACCAATCTAATGTGGCATCCCGAATGCCAACTTCAAGATTAAACCTCTTTAACATGATGCAATGATCCACCACATCAAAAGCCGCTATTCAATTATCAAAAGTCCAATTATAGAAGAATAGTACAGTTTCCAAAGTCTGCAGATAGTAAGAGTTAATTTACTACCCTTAAAAGAGAAGACTCAGAACTCTGTTTGGATCTAAAACCGGACTGAAAAGGATCCAGAATGTTATTACAGATTAGGTAGGGGGGAATTTGGTTTAGTACACCCTTTTTTAGAACTATGTGGAAAAATTGAAGTTTCAAAATGGGCCTATATTTATTGAAATCAGTGGGATCAAGATTTGCTTTTTTGAGTAAAGGATGGACCACAGCATGTTTAAGGCAAGATGGGACAGTACCTGTTTGTAAGGAGCCATTGATAATAGAAAGTAGACCAGGCGACACAGAGGACAGAACATCCTTAAGTAACTGGGGATAACATCAAGAGAACAAGTGGTTGTGTTCAGCAGAAGTAAGAAACTCTTGCATGGGGTGAGTAAATGATGACAGAATTTTCATTTTTGGGTGAACTATCCCTTTAATGAGGGTTTGGTTTTTAAGCTTTGGCAGCCTCTGCTGGTAGATATCATAACTACACCATTATGTGGACAAAGATGAAGGAAAATGGCAATTAACAGATAGGTCTTTCCAGCTATTATAGACCTCCTTAAAATCACTTTGTGTAACAGCAAGTTTGACATGCTCTGTCTTTTAATATCAAAACACTTGCTGAATAAAAGGCAATGAAATATCTGAAGTCAGATGGCGATCTTCCACTCAAATCTAGTCACCTTCATTTATATAGCGCTTTTAACAATATAGATTGTTTCAAAGCAGCTTTACAGTGATAATAGGAAATTAAAGTAACAGAGATTGTTTTGGCTTTACAGCAGTTCAAGAATAAAGTTATTGTCCAGCTAAAGTAAGTTTTGATTGATTTACTTCCGTCGCAAAGATAATTTGTTATTAACTTACGAGACACGACACCGTTCTAACAGAAAACCCTTAATGCGATCCGGCAGCTCATTTGCACAAAACAGTGCCTGGTGACTCGGGAACACAAACCATGAAATAGGTTCCAAGGTACCTGGATATGGCGTGGATCCGATTTCATCATGTTGAGCTATATAACATTGATTAGTTGTATGTACATTTGCTCACTTCTCTGTCAAGTCGAAGTTAGTCACGGACGTGGAGCTCTCGGCATCTCGAAAACGCCACGCTGATATCGATCCTCGTTTTATTTCTCCTTATCGGGTTGAGGCAAGATGGCGGACTGAGTAGTCAAGCTGTTTCGTGCTCTCACAAAATTTCCCAAGTTAGGTTAGTTTGACAAGTTTTTTTCCACCTCTAACTGCTAGTATACATACCCCAAGTTGTGGTGTCGATATGGAAGACCATGTTTACGAAATGGAAATAGCTGTAGGTTCAAGCAAAAGGGAGAGAGGAGCTGATTCTGATCCACCCACACCGAGTAAACCCCAAAAAGGTAAAAAGTCGAAAAAAACAACAGAGAGTGAGGAAAATGAGGTGCCCAACTCGGCTATACTGGATGCGATTAAAGCTCTTGGAAGTAAGGTAGATTCACAGCACAAAGAATTAAGCACGCAAATGAAGCAGCACAGCGTGATGATTGCAAGTGTTGCTAAGTCCGTCCAAATAAATGCGCAGGAGCTACGAGAATGCAAAGACAAAATTAAAATGATGGAAAAGCAGATTGAGAATCTGTCCGAAGTCAACAATGATCTGAAAATTCGTGTGTTGGAAGAGGAAAGATACAAGAGAAGATGGTGTCTTCGCATAAAAGGTCTCAAGGAGAACTCAAACGAGCGCATAAGAGAGGATGTGATTCAACTTCTGGGCAAGATAACGCTTGAGTTTGCTTCGACCATGGGGGAGGCTGTGGATGTCGTGCATCGGGTGGGAAGGAAGGAGACTGGTCGTTCGAGAGAGGTGATCATTCTCTTTACCCGCAGATTGGTGCGGGAGGAAGTATGGAAGAGAACCAAGTCGTCATCGGTGTGCAAAGAAGCTGGCATCCGTTTTGCCGAAGACCTGACTAAAGAAGATAGACTATTGAGACGTGAATTATGGCCAAGAATCGAACAAGCCAGAAAGGACCACCCGTTCCACCACATCCCAAAGATGCTCTATTGGGTTGAGATCTGGTGACTGTGGAGGCCATTTTAGTACAGTGAACTCATTGTCATGTTCAAGAAACCAATTTGAAATGATTAGAGCTTTGTGACATGGTGGAAGTAGCCATCAGAGGATGGGTACATGGTGGCCATAAAGGGATGGACATGGTCAGAAACAATGCTCAGGTAGGCCGTGGCATTTAAACGATGCCCAATTGGCACTAAGGGGCCTAAAGTGTGCCAGGAAAACATCCCCCACACCATTACACCACCACCACCAGCCTGCACAGTGGTAACAAGGCATGATGGTTCCATGTTCTCATTCTGTTTACGCCAAATTCTGACTCTAACATCTGAATGTCTCAACAGAAATCGAGACTCATCAGACCAGGCAACATTTTTCCAGTCTTCAACTGTTCAATTTTGGTGAGCTCTTGCAAATTGTAGCCTCTTTTTCCTATTTGTAGTGGAGATGAGTGGTACCCGGTGGAGTCTTCTGCTGTTGTAGCCCATCCCCCTCAAGGTTGTGCGTGTTGTGGCTTCACAAATGCTTTGCTGCATACCTCGGTTGTAACGAGTGGTTATTTCAGTCACTGTTGCCCTTCTATCAGCTCGAATCAGTCTGGCCATTCTCCTCTGACCTCTGGCATCAACAAGGCATTTCCGCCCACAGAACTGCCGCTCACTGGATGTTTTTTCTTTTTCGGACCATTCTCTGTAAACCCTAGAGATGGTTGTGCGTGAAAATCCCAGTAGATTAGCAGTTTCTGAAATACTCAGACCAGCCCTTCTGGCACCAACAATCATGCCACGTTCAAAGTCACTCAAATCAACTTTCTTCCCCATACTGATGCTTGGTTTGAACTGCAGGAGATTGTCTTGACCATGTCTACATGCCTAAATGCACTGAGTTGCCGCCATGTGATTGGCTGCTTAGAAATTAAGTGTTAACGAGCAGTTGGACAGGTGTACCTAATAAAGTGGCCGGTGAGTGTATATTAAAAAAATTATTGCTGAATTTAAAAGTAAAAAAGATGCCGAATGGTATTAAATGGGAATATTTAAAACATAAATTAAGAGAATATTCAATGTCCTTTAGCAAAAATCTGATGAAA